GTTTTATACGAGGACGTTTATCTTTCATGCATTTTGGTTCAAGTCATCTGTTGTGTAATTTCATTTGTGTTTGTATTGCTGCCGTATCTGTTATGTCTATGAGGTTTATATGAAATTCTAAGGTACCACACGCTCCTATGTTTCGGTCCTCGTAGATCCTCCGCCACACACACATAGGCACACATACGCACACGGGCACACTTCACAGAACCTTAGAATATCCATAAAAATTCTGGAACTGTAGTGAAATTCATATACTAGCGATTCTTATCCGGCAGGGAGGTGAAGCGCACATTTTCCGGATCAGTTATTCGCTACATATTACTGCAATCCTGAATACGGGGGACAATAAAGGATGCACTGTGACAGATGATTAATACAGACAAAAGCAGTCTTGCGTCCATCTTTACGACCAGGTAGTCCGCACATTGGTATTCTCGAAAAATTTCTTGTTTTTTTTGAAACTGAGATTGAGTTCTTCACACTGATTTAATGCCAGCCTGATGTGGAATGGTTACTTGTAGGTGGACATGATGGCCATGATGGAGCAGTTCTCTTATTATGAAGATAAGGATGTGCAGGTGCTTGGGATGCCCTACGGCGGTGGTCAAACACAAATGCTCATCATTCTCCCGCAACGACGTTTCGGACTAGCTGGTGTCGAGCAAAAGCTTACTGGAAAGCAGTTGTTGTCCTACGTACAGCAAACTTATGTTACCGAAGTTGAAGTAAATGGCATATTTTGAGTCTTCTTTTCTGTTTATTGACTAGGAGCCTAAAGATTTGATGAGTGGCAAACTTTCGAAATTTGCGAACTTGGCGACTGACTAGCTTCAGAATCTGCAAACTTGAGAGTGGCCAACTTCCAGAATTTGCGAGTTTGATGAATAATTAGGCTAATATAAACCTGCTAGTAAATCGGCTTAATTTCAGGTCGAATTGCCGAGATTCAAGCTGGAAAAGAGGCTTGAATTGGTGCGTGCACTGCAGAAACTGGGTATGAAACTTGCATTTTCTGATTCTGCGACTTTTAGAGGGATCAGTGAAGAGCCAATGAAAATTTCAGACGTCATTCAAAAGGCACTGATCGAGGCTAGTTTAATACGAAAAATAAATTTAACACATCACGCGCACTACCGCGAACATGCATTATTACGCGCTAAACTTGAAGCAGTTATGTTGTTAACTGTGTGAATGATTATTGCTTTACATTTAGCTTGTGCAGTCCTTTAAAACTGTAAATTTTGCATAGAGGGAATTGAATAATTTTCGTCGAACGGTGGTTCATTAAAAATCTCGAGTTAGCAGTTTTCCTTTCAAAAATTTCACACATCTGTACGTGAGAAACATACATACTTAGGAAGCAAATTGAAAACCCTTAGGTTGCACGTGAATAAAAAACATCCTTTCAGTATCTCAGACCCTAGTATGCCTGACCTCGGGTTAACATTTTTCTTATCAAAACTTTCATGTGCCCATAATTGAGAACCACGCGTATCTAAGAGCTGAACTTAAAATCTCTGAGCTGCACGCGAACAATGGACATTCGTTTAAAATCTCAGCTTTCCTGTTTTCCTAGTTACCGAGATAGCAGTTTTCCCGCCAGAGCTCTCACGTACCCGTATGTGGAGTTCAAAAGCGCGTGAAAGTCGATACTGCGTTCCTGGGAGAGCCCACTAGCAAAATTTCAGCGTCAGAGATTCCCTGTTTGCCGAGCTGGAATACCCGGACAAACAGACAGACAGATAGACACACACATCATGGGTCGCCATAATACGTGTTTTTGCATTTGCACATACATGTGGCAGTTTGTACTGGAAAACATAAGATTGTGATATGATCACTCTCATTATGCGTTTTTGCATATGTGCAAATGCAATCCAGGCTGAAACATACCGGGTTCGCCGGTGCAATTGTGCGTTTTTGCACCAAACTCGCAGATCACTTATGCTCGCAGATCGCTAATGGAATGAACCCTGCGCCGTAGCCTAACACTTGGTCTCATATTGGCCGCGCTCTGGCCACTTCCGGCATGCAGAAGAAAGGGCGTCGGTTGGGATGAAGGTGTTGCATTACAGGGCCGCACGGACCTCCAGGTGCATGATTTCCAGTTTTTTGCATGAAGTCCGGTGGTACTTTTGGTAAATGCTCGCTTTTTTTAAAAATGCAAATTTCCAGTTTACTAGAAAGTGGAAATGTTGCTAGAACGGGCGTTCGTCAAAAAATCCAAGTATGCAAACGAACTGAATGTTCATTTACATATTTGAATAAAGGCGGCTGTTCGCTACAAAACATACTCGTTTCTGATTTTTCAGTAAAGTTAAATATTTCTCGTAACCACCTGCAGAAAGTGATTTTCACCTTCAGGCAGAATTAAGACTGTACTTGAGAGTAGAATATTCCAGCGATTTTTCAGCCTCGCAGTTTGTCCGGTAAGCTAAATATCCACTTTGCTACAAATACCTTTAAAGTGCCTTAAGTCGTGGCGCAAGTGCAAATCGGTACTCATTTTATGTATACGATTTACTATATGGGCGACAAAATGACGGACAAAATTCCAGCCACTGTTTTTTGGCAAGTTTTCGGATTAGCACAGTACCAAGTTGCAAACTTTGACATGATCGTACGCGCCACACAAGCATGCGCGACAACTGAATTTGAAATCTTTAGCTCGCACATGCACAGAGAATATCCGTGCAGAGTTTCAGCTTTCTGCCTTGCTTGGTTCGCAACATCGTTTCCCGCCAAAGAAATGAGCATATTTTTTTGGGGAGCCCGTACGTAGGTCCCATGCGCGTGTGGGGGAATATCTTGAAACGTAGGGTGGCACAGGGGGTGGGAAAATATACCAAAAGTTTCAGCCTTCCAGCTTTCCTGGTTGCTGAGATGAAAATTCACGCTTCTGAACGCACCCATGGACGACCTCTCGACAGTATGCGTTTTTGCCGGCTTTAGCGCTACACATCAAAAACGCATACTGTGACGACCCGTGTATGTGTGTCTATCCAGGTATTTCAACTCGGCGACCAAGCAAGCTTCGGTACCAAAATTTTACCAGTGGGTTCCCTGGCCAAGTAGTACCAACCCTCACGCACGTCTAGGTCCGCATGCGAGAGTGTAAAAGTTTTGGCGGGAAAATCGCTAACTTAAGAGCCAGAAAAGCTACAAAGCTGCAGTTTGCGGTTATGTTCCCTATCCATATAGAACTCAAAGATTTCAGATTCAATCCCCAGGTGTGCGTGGTTCTTACGCACGGCCCCGTGAATATTGTTGATGGGAAAATTTCACAAACTCAGGAACTGGAAAAAGCTGGACGTCCAAAATGCTAAGGGGATGATCCCAGCCCATGTACAACGTAATATTGTCAAATTCAGTCCTCGAAGTGCATGATTTTCACGTACGGCCCCGTAAAAGTTTTTTTTTTTTTTTTGCGGGAGAGGAAGGGGAGAACCGCTAGCTCGGGAACCAGAAAACCTGGAAGGTTGAAATTTTGACGAGATGTTCTTAGTCCTCGTCCAACCTAAGAACTTCAAATTGAGGCTCCAGCTTGGCATGTTTCCCAGGACGGCCCTGTGAAAGTTTCTGGCGAAGAATTTCGCTAACTCGGAAACCAAAAAGGCTGGGAGGCTGAAATTTTGAGGGGATGTTCCCTGGCCAAGTAACACGTAGTTGCACAATTCACTTTTTGTACTTCAAGGATCAGTATGCCACTGGAATACTAGCTACTGAAAGTTCAAGCTATCTTACTACAGCACAAAATACTGCAAAACGTATGATCCCACGGGCCCTCTGTACAACAAATGTGTTAACCAGTTAAAACTTTAGGTTGGAACTGCTGGTGCGACCATAAGTTTTTGCAGTATGTTTGAATCAACCAGGTCATTAACTGTATAAGTGGTTCCTGCTTTACATTTGCTTTGTGCGTTCACTAGCGTAAATCGTCGTAAATTTTACGTAAAGGAAAGAGAACAATTTTTATGCGTTTTTGCTTATATGCAAAAACGCATAAAAACGCATGTTGCGACGACCCTGTCTGTGTGTATGTTTGTGTGTGTCTGTGCGTATGTCTGCGTGTGTGCTTGTGTTCGTCTGTCCGGGTATTTCAACTAGGCAACCAAGCAAGCTCCAGCGCCAAATTTTTGCTAGTGGGTTCCTCGGTCAAGTACTACCCCAAGACCGCGGTACCAGCTTTCGCGCTAGTCTTTGCCCCGCGTACGAGAGAGTGAAAGCTTTGGCGGAAAAAATGCTAACTCAGGAACGAGAAAAGATTGAAAACTGAGATTTTGAAGTCTTGTTCTCCGCCCACGTATAACTTAAATATTTCAAATTCAGCCCCCAGTGGTGCGCGACTCCTGCGTACGGCCTCATAAGGGTTCCTGGCACGAAAATCGCCAACCTGGGAACCAGGAAGCCAGGGGACTGAAATTTTAAGGAAATTTTCCCCGCCCATGCACAACTCAAAATTATCAAATCCAGCCACATGCATGGCTCTCACCCATTGCTCAGTGAAAATTTTTGGCGGAAAGAATTGCTAACTCGGGAACCAGAAAAATTGGGAGGCTAAAGCTTCAAAGGCACGTCCGTAGCCCACAGTACACGTTAAAGTTTTCAAAATCAGCCCCCAGTGCACGTACGGCCTCGCGAAAGTTTTGGCGGGAAAACTAATTCAGAAATCAGAAAAGCTGGAAAGCTAAAATTTTTAGGAGAACATTCCCCGTCCAAATATAACTTAAAGGTTTCAAATTCAGTCTCCAGTCACGCATAGTTCTCATACAAGCGCTTAAATTTTTTGGCAGGAAAATCGCTCGTTTAACAGCTGGGTCATTTTCAAAAAACGACCGCTAAACGGAAATTGCTATTTTTGTTTATGCAAAATTTACGATGATTT